TTCTTTTATTTCTCCCAATCTGTTTCTCCGGCTAGAAGAATCGAGATTCAAATTAGAAAAAGTACATAAAATTCATTTAGCAGCTTCAATAATCTCAGCTAATGTAGCGATTAGGGTTCATGTTTAGTACCAAAAGTTCTTTTTCTCTTTATTAGGGTTCATGCATCTAGCGATTTTCCCCAATTTTGTTCTAATTTTTTTTCCTCGGTCTGATAATCTATGATTCATTCAGTCAATTAAATATATAACATCCAAAATAGTAATCTATTACTAGAAAGACATTAATGTTCTAATGGTTTCAGTTCTTCTTTTTTTTTTTTTTTTTGAGTCCATTTTTTGTTATTTTTCTGTTCAATTAGTTTAGTACTTCTTTAAATGTTTGCTGCTTTGTTTGGTATCTTGATATGTAGCCGAGATATCAAAATCTATTGGTGAAGCTATTGGGATCGACGTCGACAGTAAAACATTTGAGAGGTATCAGTTTAATTTTGTCCTTTCTTTTGAGCAGATTTCTTTTTATTAAAAGGTAGATTGATTATTTTTTTTTTTCACTAGCGGATTAGCAGAGCTTTCTGCTATAATAGGTTCAACTTATCTATCAAACGGTTACCAATTGTATAGGTAGAAAGATATGATATCCAACTGTAAGAATCTGAAGTAGTAAGTTAACAGTTTGACATTGTGTATGAGCAAATTTTTTTTAGAGAAAAACTTAGTTCAGATTAAGTGGATATATTCACTAATTATTGCAGGTTATATTTTGCCTTAGGCTTTATGGATTTTGAAACTAAAAGCAAAAATGCAGGAGTAATCTGAAGTTAAACTTTAACTGTACAAGAAACCAAAATAGTACTTTCGTTTCAAGTACTAATAGACTATTTCTTAATTTGTTTACCATTTAAAGAGTTGTTGTCACGACCCAGATTTTCTACCCTCGAGAGTCGTGATGGCGCCTACTATTAGGAGCTAGGCAAGCCAATTATTTATTACCTCTTTTAGCAAACCTCGACATTAATAAAAAAAACAACGAAATATTTAATAGAAAAGTGGAAGTCCTAAATATAAATAAACTGAAAGCAATGCGGAAGTTCAATACAACTCTACCCAAGAACTGGAGTCACAAACTCACGAACGTCTAGGAAATGCTAAATACAATGTCTGAATAAAAACATAGTTTTGTTTGTCCCGGTACAAAGGATAACAAACTAAAGTAAAGATAGAAGAAACTCTGGGCCTGCGGACGTCAGCAAGGCTACCTCGGTGTCTCTGGACTGAAGTCAGCTCCCAACTCTACTATTGCTGTCCAAAAGCTGCTCCGGCACCGTGATATGTGCAAAAAGATGCACAAAGTGTAGCATCAGCACAACCGACCCCATGTGCTGGTAAGTGCTTGGCCTAACCTCGGCGAAGTAGTGACGAGGCTAGACCGGACTACCAAACAAACCTGTGCAGTTCAATATATATGTATGCAATATAAAGGTATACAGAAATTAATCAGTCAAGGGGGAGGGGGAGCATGCTGTAGGGGCTGTAACAGTTCAGGTATAAAATCAATAATTAAGGAATGAAACAGTACAACTATAATAGCAACGAGAGTAGGAAATCAACAGTTGCACGGCACCATCCTTCGTGCTTTTACTCTCATTCTCACCCAAACAATCATATAAAGTGCACGGCATCACCATTCGTGCTTTACCTCACAAAATGATGGCACGGAATGATCCTTCGTGCATAAACACTCATATCATGGTACGGAATGTTCCTTCGTGCATTAGTAATCATATCATGGCACGGAATGTTCCTTCGTGCATTAGTATTCATATCACAATCGTGCACGGTATCACCCTTCGTGCTTTATCACTCGTCCTCACCCAAACAACAATCAAAAATAACGGAGCGAGGGAATAGACAAACAAAATAGGAATCCCGGCAAGGGAACAATAACAACAATTTAAATATCCCGGCAAGGGAGAAAAGTCTACCAAACAGGAAAACATCCCGGCAAGGGAATAACCAATAACTCATTAGCTTTCTTTCATTTCTTACTTCACATCTCGCCATATCACTTGAGCCAATGCTCCCAAGAATCTTATAATCTCATATACCTTTTCAATCCGTATTACAACCAAGCCAATACACCACGAAAATCAAATGATCATAATGTTTTGCACATGTTCTTTACAATATATAGAAGTCCTCAATTAACATGGAATTCACGACAAAATCATGATAATCACCCTTTAAGGACTCACGGTCATGCTAGACACCAATGTATAGATACTCGTCACCATGCCTATACATCATACTCGATCAATTAGCAAATAGCAAACAAGACTCAACTCCTATTCCCTCAAGCTAGGGTTAAACCAAACACTTACCTCAGCTTCCACAGCTAAATCAATCCACAACGACCGCTTTCCCTCTCGAATTCGGCTCCAACTCAATCAAATCTATGAAATAACGACTTTACAACATTAATATAAGCTAAACAAATCAAACCCAGTGCCTAAATATAGTTCTCTAAGCTTTCTTCCCAAAATTCCAAAAATCGACCCCGGACCCGCTTGGTCAAAACCCGAGGTTCGAACCAATTTCATATCACCCATTCCCCCACGAGCCCAGATATACAATTTGTTTTCAAATTCGACCCCAAAACGAGGTCTAAATCAAGAAAAATTGAAAAGCCCTAACTCTACCCACTTTCCCCCAATTTCAACCCTAGATTACATGATTTAAGCCTTGGAGTTTGATTAATAATGATGGAAAATGAAGAAAACAAGTTGAAATTTACTAACCGAAGTGGTCTTGAAGAAAGGAGGCTTCAATGGACGTCTAAGTGCTTGGAGAAGAAAGGAGTTCGTGTATTTTTGAAGGAATCCCGTAGCTACTGTTTCTGAAAATTAACATTTAACTGGGCAAAATTTGCCCTTCGTGTTCGCAGGAAGGGAGCCGCGTTCGCGAAGGGTTGACCTAAATGAACATCGCGTTCGCGATTGGGGAGGACGCGAACGCGAAGAGAAAAAGGCTGGGGTTCAGGATTTTGGTCTATGCGAACGCATGAAGGCCCACGCGAACGCGATGAAGAAGGCTGCAAGGCTACTCGTTCGCGAACCTGTGAATGCGAACGCAAAGAGGAAATTACTGGGGTCTCAAATTTGGCTTACGCGAACGCGAGATGTTGTACGCGAACGCGATGAAGGAAATTCTAATGCTTCGCGAACGCGGAAGAGAGAGTGCGATCACGAAGAAGGAAATGACTGGGCACCTGTTGCAGACTTTTCTGCAACTTCTCTAAGTTTTAAAACCTCCCGGAACACCTCCGAAACACTCCCGAGCCCTCGGGGCTCCTAACCAAATATACACACAACCTCAAAAACATCCTACGGACTTATCCGTGCGATCAAATCGCCAAAATAACATCAAACTCAATGAATTAAACCTCAAAATCATCACTTTTTCATCAACTTCATAAACTTTCATTTTTAAAGATTTAGGTCCGAAACACGTCAAATGACGTCCGATTTCAACCAAATTTCACAGAAAGCGCTTAAACCACATATAAGACCTGTACCGGGCGCCGGAACCAAAATACGGGCCCGATACCAACACGTTATAATCAATTTTCGTTTCAAATTTCCATATTAATTTCAGAAAAATAATTTCACAGAAAAATTCATTTCTCGGGCTCTAGACCTCAGAATTCGACTCCGGGCATATGCCCGAGCTCATATTTTTCTACGGACCCTCCGGGACCGTCCAATCATGGGTCCGAGTCCGTTTACCCAAAATGTTGACCAAAGTTAACTTTAATCATATTAATACCAAAATTCATTATTTTTCACACAGAATTCATATTTAAGCTTTTCGGCTACGCGCCCGGACTGCGCACGCAAATCGAAGCGACTAAAAATGAGGTTTTCAAGGCCTCGAAAGCACGGAATGAATGAGAAAACAGGTGATGACCCTTTGGGTCGTCACAGCTGTATTTGACATTCAACAATTCTGTAGTTGAAGAGATTATAATATGAGTTTGCGTTCAAAATTAATTAATGTAGAAGTAATGTGACTTTTCATGTTAATTAAGTTGGCAATGGCTTTTCAAATTAAGTGGATATATTCAGAGGTTATGTTTTTCACATATAAGCTTTTGAACTATCTTTATAGTTTTAATATTGTGATGTTATCTTATGTCTTCCTTTCTAGCCGTGCCAATTGATAAATCTTGGATTAGCAAACCACGAAACACACCTGAATATGCAGATGGTCTAAGACAATTTTTGGATTTCGCTTTTGAGCACGGGTCAGTTGATGGGCGCGTAATTAAGTCCGTGTCCAAAATGTGGTTTTAACAAATGGCAAAGAAGAGATGTAGTTGAAGAGCACCTGATTCTTAAACCTTTCCCAAAAAACTACAAATTTTGGTATTGGCATGGTGAAGAATCAAATGCAACCGTGCAACAGACTTCTCAGAGCACCCATATTATAGAAGATAATTTATAGCCCCAAGATCCAATGGAAATTATGATTAATGATGCGTTTGGGTTCACCCGGAACAATGTCAACGAGCCCGGTGCGTCTTCTAATCATATAAATAGAGAAGAAATATTTGATGAAGGGCACGTTGAGGGTCATAATGAGATTATACAAAGTTTTATGAATTGGTCGAAGATGGCAATCAACCATTATACGAAGGGTGTACGAAGTATTCCAAATTGTCCTTTCTTATCAAAATGTATCATATAAAATGTCTTTGTCGAATGACTGACAAGGCGATGAGTATGATATTAGAATTGTTAAAAGATGCCTTTGATGCCAAGATTCCTGGTTCTTTTTATGAGGCCAAGAAAACCATCAACAAACTTGGTCTTAATTTGTATGGACTATACTGTTCTTTGTGTGGACTATACTTACTCTAAAAAGACTCGTTGACGGATGGGACCAGGACCCACTTCAAGATGTGCATTGCATTAAAGTTATCAAAGTTTCCATCTTTTGGTTGTTTTTTTGTCCACTTTGTAAATTAAGAAGTTTTATTTCATATGGTTTGTATGCTTCTTAATTTTGCACAAGTCATCACAAACCAATACAACGATGACTCTGGTTATTTTTAGTGAATTCCGTGAAGGTGTAAAAAGCAATTGTACTTAGCTAGAATTTAGTTGATTGTATTGTCTTATGTCCTGTTTTCTGTGTAGTCGAGTGATAGATGATTATCATAGAAATTTTCTATTGGATATAATGTGTTAGGAGGATTTGATACACTGATTGGCATTGATCTGCTCCCTTCTTGCTCAGGCGTTTGTTGTACTGATAATTTTTCTTTTGTTTTGGTGATTTGCAGAGTGGTTTAAAACTTATATGAGGAATAACAATAATGAGGACTTACGAGTTATGCCAAGTTGTTAAAAGTTTTAATATTTTTTGCTGTGAGTTTCGATGTTGATATATATGAAGTCATTTAGTGCGGTTTTTGTGTGTTCTATGGAAATGAGATCTGCTGCTTCTACGAAAATGATATATATGAGGTGATTAGTGTTGTTATGTTAGCAGATTAGCGTTAAATGAGATCTGCTGCTTCTACGGAAATTTTGGCTAGACCATATGGTGTAAATTGCATTTCATTTTGGGATGTGGTGTTATGAATCTGTTGATGGTTTGATTCATGTTTTAGCTAGCAGTTTAATGTACAATTCTTGTCATTTCCAAGTTCCAAGCACCTTCATATTGCTCAGTTTATGCTTCTTCAATTTTTGTAGGAAAGAATTGAAGAAATTCGAAGTGAAAGAGCAGAAAGTCTTGATGAACCTTCACCAAATGATGCACTTGGCATAGTATTTGGTCCCGAGCACCCCGGCCGTGTTCGAGGTTTAGGCTTGGGTGTAGTTCCAACTGTAGCATTCAAACAGACATCTGCGAGATATCGTCGTGCTTATGTGGGTTCATCTAGCACTACCGCTCCAACTCCGGCGTGGCAGCAAGCGATGACAAATGTGAAATCAAAACTAAATGCACTAATTAGCTTATATGAAAGGAACATAGGGAATATCCCCGAGGAGTTTGCTCACTTATTTTCCACTCCTCCACAGGTATAAGTTCTCTTGCTACAGTAAAATTTTAGTTACTTGCTTTTCTTATGGTTCTTTTTTAACATAAAGTGGTTTCCTAATCCGTGTAGTTACCTTTTTGGTGATTAAAGTCATTGATTTCAATGTGATTTATGTATATCCAGTCCTGCTACTTCAGCTTACCTGTTAAAATTTTAGTTATTTGCTTATTGACTGTATTTTTTCTTTCTTTTTTTCAGGCACCAGATTTAGGAAGTGATGCACCAGTTGAACCAAGAAGATCTTTAGATGAAAGTAACAACGATGATCGTCCAAGTGTGAATTAGTGATTATTTTATAGGATCAACTATGGATCTTTTGGATATTACTGTGGAAATACACTTTTAAGCATTAATATTTAGATGATGTAATTTTGGTATACTTGTGTAAGTGTGAATTTGTGATTATTTTGTTGGATTAACTATGAATCTTTTGGATATTATTGTTGAAATACACTTTGAAGCATTAATATTTGGATGATGTAATTTTGGTATACTTGTGTTTTATATAATGAATATTTTTCTTATTTAGTCTTTTATATTGGGTTTAATTGATTATGAAGTGCTACAGAAGTTTCAAAGCATAGCATTCAATAAATAGGACTCTAAATGTGAAAAAATAGGATTGTGAATAGGCTTAAAAAGAAAAAAAAAACATTATGGCGGTTTAAAACCGCCTTAATATGCAAAAATAAAAGCCACATTAAAACTGTTGAAATACGACGGTTTGCCTAGAAACGTCATAATATAATTTTGGCGGACGGGATTGTGGCGCTTTTAAAAGCCGCCGTTAATGTGTATTATGGCGGTTTGAAACCGCCATTATATGCTAAAATAACCGCCGTAATAACCACGTTTTCTTGTAGTGCTGATGGATAATCTAAGATAGTAAATATCAATTGACGAGTACCATATTTATCTGATATAACTAAGTTTCCATTCTCATATTTCAAGAACTGAAGTGAAAAAACTGTGTCATCACTATAGGAAACAAGAATCCCGGCTAATTCACCTCCCTCTTCATCCCACATGAATCCACCACGTCCTCCCACGGGGCCAACTTTGATCATATCCATATTCTTTTATTTTTTTTCTGAATAATTTTGGAAAATCTAGTTATAGTGTATATATAGAAGAGTTTCAACTCCTGATTAAGAAGTTTTTGAGTCGTATTAATTAGGATTTGGAGCCTTTTCATTTATCACACGTTAGGACTTTTGTTCTTCTATCTCGAAATAGGAGTAGTCTGACGCTTAGTTTCTCTTTCAATTTAATTTTGAAAGTTCAATGATTTCAGTTTTCATTATCTTAATTTCTTCTTTTGATAATTAAAAGACCTTGAAGACAGTTTTTCTCGAAACATGAAGATGACATTTTGGCAATCAAAATGTGATGTACCTCACTATCATAGAGGACGGGGCTTTACCATCTTAACTTTTTCAATAAAAAACTTAAAAGATAACCCTTACATAATAACCATGCACCAATCAGTAGATCGATTGCGCAAAAGTAAAACCAAATAAGCATAGCGTAAAGTATGACACTAAAAAGTCTTCCGAGTCTTTCCACTGTCCACACCCGAGTCTTAGCTCCATCATACATGTCCTTAATTACCCTAATGTAAGCTACATTAACACCTCTAGCTTCCAAACATCCCTATAAGATCTCCCTTGGGATTTTGTCGTAGACTTTCTCTAGGTCAATGAACACCAGAACTATATCAGTTGGAAACTTAATTACTAGAAGGTGAATTTATATCATGAGTTAATAATCTTCTTCCTTTTCAACCTTCACTCGTGGATTCTCAAGTTGATCAATGTAACGACCCGACTGGTCGTTTTGCCTTTTAGAACCCCGTTCCCCTAAATAAAACCTTCCACACTTGCTTTAGCTAATTTACGACTTGCGGGGACGGTTGGTTCGGGAGTTGGAAGAGTTTTGTGCGAAATATGTCTAATTGTTTCTTTAAGATTCCCTTAAAAGACCAAGTTTGACTTCGGTCAACTTTTTGGAAAAACGGACCCGGACTCGTGATTTGACGGTCCCGGGAGGTCCGTGCAAAAATATGGGACCTGGGCGTATGCCCGGAATCGAATTCCGAGGTCCCTAGCCAGTGTAATGAATTTTTATTGAAAATTGCTAAATTGAAATCCTAAGAGTTTAATAAAAAGGAAAAATGCTTGATCACATTGATATCGGGCCCGTATGTTGGTTCCGGAGCCCGGTACAGGTTCGGTATAATATTTTAGTCTTGTCTGTGAAATTTGGTGAGAAACGGGATTGATTTGACGTGATTCGGGCGTTCGGTTGAAAAGATAGGAATTTGGGTGTTCTTGAGGAATTCATGCATTTTGGGGTTAAATCCGTGGTTTTAGTGTTAATTAGGCGATTTGATTGCTTGAGCAAGTTTGCACATTGTTGTAGGACTTGCGTGAGTGTTCGGAGTGGAGCCCCGAGGGCTCGGGTGAGATTCGGGCATGGTTGGAGGTAGGAAAAACATACCAGTTTTTCTGGTATTTTTGCCCTTGCTGCAGGTCTCGCAATTGCGAGAAGGCCATCGCAATTGCGAACTCGCAACTGCGAGGGGGGCATCGCATTTGCGAACTGGGACCGGCTGGACAGTGGTCGCATTTGCGACCTTCTTCTTCGCAATTGCGAAACCAGGGTGTCCGCATTTGCGAGCCTTTCTTCGCATTTGCGAACCCTGGGTGTCCGCATTTGCGACCCCGTCCATCGCATTTGCGATCATGGCAGGAAAGGGGGGGCTGTTCGCATTTGCGATAGAATTGTCGCAATTGCGAGCCTGGTGTCGCAATTGCGACATCAGAGGGCTGGGCATGGGTTTTAAAAACGGGACTTTGAGCATTTGTTTCATTTCTACACAACACTTGGGCGATTTGAGAGCTTCCAAAGAGGGGATTTCAACATATCATTTTGAGGTAAGATATTTCCATTCATCCTTAGTTAAATACATGTATATTGGGTAGATTAAACACCAAAAATTTGGTAAAATCAAAGGGATTAGAGCTAGACCTAGGATTTTAATAAAACTAAGATTTAACCACGAAATTTGTTATGAAATGAACTAGAAATCATATATTATTGATCCTTAGGTAGTAGAGAACGACTTCCTTCGAAAAATTTCGGAATCCGGGCACGTGGGCCCGGGGTTGAAATTTAGGAAACTCGTGTAAATAGTTGGGAAATGGCTTGTGAGCTTATATTAATTAGTTCTTACTTCATTTAACTAGTTTAAGATCGTTCGGCTCCGAATTCGATGGCTTGGGCTTGTTCTTGATATTGGAAGTGCGCTTTGGAGCGAGGTGAGTCTCCTTTCTAACCTTGTAAGAGGGAATTGTCCCCATAGGTGAATTAATTGGTTATGTGCTCCTATTTGTGGGGGCTACGTACGCACGAGGTGACGAGAGTCCATGCGTAGCTACTATTATGCTACTGTCCGGGTAGTATAGGACCCAAAAGCATGCTATACTTGGATTAATTGTAAACCTATTGACAGCTCGGATTGCTTAAACCACATAGAATTAATAAATAAAGTTCAAAAAGGATTAAACTTCTTTTCTTAAATTGTTAAAAGAGAAAGTGGCTTTTATTTGAATAAATATTCCCTGATAGATTCTTAATTTGCTATCTGAGCATGTATTTCTATGTGTACTTGCGTCGCATGCATGATTCGCGAGCAGGGTGATTGTTTAATTTATGTTGACCGCATCGCTTGGATAGTTCGCGAGCGGGGGAAATGATGCATCTATGGTTCGCGCCGTTCGACCTCGGCAGTGCACAGTTTATTTTCCGTTGGAACGGGCCGTACGCCTCGGCATGATTTGCGCATGCTTGTATTGCTTGCCTTGAAACTTACTAAAGTTGTTATAGCCTCTTTCCGGCTTGAGAATAATTGTATAAATGATAAAAAGGAATTTGGAAATTTCCTATAAAGGAAAAATTGTTCATTTGCTTCAACCTATCGAATTATATCATGTTTATAAAAATTTGCGATTTAACATATTGTTGATATATCATTATTGGACCACTAGTAAGTGTCGAAGGCGACCATCTCGTCTCTACTTCTTCAAGATTAGACGGGATACTCATTGAGTACACGTTGTTTTCGTACTCATACTACACTTCTGTAGATTTTTGTTGCACAGGCATATGCATCTCTAGTGGCCTACTGGGCGTAGCAGCACGGATGACACGGAGACTTAGGTGAGCTGCACTTCTCGAGGTGAACCGCAGCCAGCACAGTCTCTTTCAGTTTTCTGTATTTATTTCTGTCTAATATTGTACTCCGGACGATTGTTGTATTATATTATTTCTTAGAAATTGCTCATGCACTCGTGACTACCGGGTTCTTGGAGGATTTTTGGATTATTAATGTTATGTTTTGTTAAAGACTTCGCGGTTATTTCTGTAAATTTTTATTATTCATTATTTAATGTATAAAGAAAAAAAATTTAGACAATACAAAATTGGAAGTTAATTAAGTNAATTTAATTTGGCATCATATATTAGGGCAAAATTAGCAATAAATTTTATTTTTCATTGGAAAACTTATTATTTCAATATAAATTTTTTAATTAGTGATGAAACCATAAATTAATTATAAATCCGTGATTATGTAGCTGCGAGATGTCAATTTTCATTAAGATTATTATTATTTTCTTGTAGTGCTAAATATGTTTCTTGTATATAATTGGAGCATTTGGTCATTTATCAAAACTAAATGTACCAACTGTAACGACCCGACTGGTCGTTTTGCCTTTTAGAACCCCGTTCCCCAAAATAAAACCTTCCGTACTTGCTTTAGCTAATTTAGACTTGCGGGGACGGTTGGTTCGGGAGTTGGAAGAGTTTTGTGTGAAATATATCTAATTGTTTCTTTAAGATTCTCTTAAAAGATCAAGTTTGACTTCGGTCAACTTTTTGAAAAAATGGACCCGGACTCGTGATTTGACGGTCCCGGGAGGTCCGTAAAAAAATATGGGACCTGGGCGTATGCCCGGAATCGAATTCCGAGGTCCCTAACCCGAGTAATGAATTTTTATTCAAAATTGTTAAATTGAAATCCTAAGAGTTTAATAAAAAGGAAAAATGCTTGATCACACTGATATCGGGCCCGTATGTTGGTTCCGGAGCCCGGTATAGGTTCGGTATAATATTTCAGTCCTATCTGTGAAATTTGGTGAGAAACGGGATTGATTTGACGTGATTCGGACATTCGGTTGGAAAGGTAGGAATTTGGATGTTCTTGAGGATTTCATGCATCTTGGAGTTAAAGTGTTAATTAGGCGATTTGATTGCTTGAGCA